CTATGCGAAACTCAGAGCCGATCAGTACTGAATATACTGAACCTTTGATAGACATACGAAACCCCGCAGGGGTTTGTATTGAATGTACTGAGCTTTTAAGAATTTATAAACTCGTTATTGGTTTCGACCATTCCACACGAAACCAAGTCTAGTTTAGTTTAAAATGTTCTAAAATTTTCGAAAACTGACAAACCATCGATGCGTCGGCGTGAAATCGTCTGATCCATCAACTTGCCTGCGAAACTAGGAATAGTTTCGTAGAAAATTGACGAAATGTGTCATCACACTCCTAAACCGCTGATGGCTCTGTAGACATGTTACAGAACTACGAATGGTTTCGCATACCGCATTAAAAACCTGTGGATGGTTTTTGCTACCAATCGCCGAACCTTCTCGACGCGACGGAACTTAAAATAGTTCGGCAGTTCAAGCACGGAACATTTTTCGTTTTTCTGAGCTTAAAATCGTTTAGTCGAAGTATAAGAAACCTTTTAGGTTCGGTAAAACTCCGTATTTTTTTTGAGTGTATATCCTTAGTTTTGTAATAAGTTGTTTATATATTGAAATAAATTTGAAAAAATGAATGATAAATGAACTTTCGGGGAATCTGAGTATGAGGATGCCTCTAATGCGCTTGAATTTATTTTCAAGAGACAAATGCAATTAAAAAGGCACATATATAGATTTGTTCAGAACTCCATGGGTTATCCTAATATATAATTATTTTTCTCAAAATATCAGTTTATAGTAACAAAATAACGAAAATACCGAGTCTGGCTATTTTTTTCCGGGGGATATATTTGTTTTCTTTACTTTCTTAATAGATCAAGAAAGATTATATTGTTCCAATCAACTATATCTTTGTTCATATCTTCATATCCTTATTGGTTTTCAAGATATGTGTGGTTCATAAAATACTTCTAATTATCAAAGCGGGATTATAATATGTTTTAAATAAATATGAGAATAGTTTTTTCAAATATTTATAATTAATTGTTTTCATGACTTGTTTCTGATACTGGTCTTCCAAGTGGATCTGGTAAAATTTCAAAAAAGCGATCTTTTTCATTTGGTGATTTATCATCATTGAATAAATATAAAAATGCCCAGTTTTGTGTTGGTGTCCATTTACGTTTTGGATCAATCGAACTCACGAATGATTCATTCGCATCAAGAAACGCTGCATATTTTACATTCTCACCCAAAAAAGCCATATGTTGAACAGACTAAAATAAATGAGAAAAAAATTGAATATTTAACTTTCTAAACAATTTTACCATAAATCGATCTTGATCATCTAAAGCTTGTGTATATTCACTCTTCCATGGTTTATCATTCTGACATATTAAACAACCATTATCACTTTGTCGAAATCGATTAATATAAATCAATTCATAATCATTGTCTAATTCTGTTCTTTTAAAATAAGCTAATCCACCAAGAAGGAGCATAGATATTTCATCTACTTTCGCATTCTTAGCAATAGTATTCCCTTCAATATTTACACAATTAAGCCAACAATAGTGAGTAGCACCATCAGAAATCTTAGCTGCATCAAGCATAGATTCATTAAAGAAGGGAATAGCCTTAATTGAAGTACGTGTTCCTTGAAGATATTCATTTTGTGATAGAATATCATTGATCGATGTGATTTTATATAAATATTTGTGGTCTTTTTCAAACCATTCAATTTTAATGTTTACTTTCACAAAATCTATAATATTTTAATATTAAATAAAAAAATAAATTATTTATATTTACCCAATGGACCTCTTGCAAGACTAAGATTAGCATTAGACTCTTTGAGAAGTTTTTCTGTCTCGGAACGATTTTGACCATTTAATAATTCTTCTCTCAATTGATATCGCCATCGATCACCAGAATAGAAAATCACAGCCATTCTTGGTACATTTGATTCATTTAATTTCTCGTTAAGATCGGATTCAATTGTAAATGTTAAGAAATTTTGATCATTCATATCTCATCGTCTAATTTGGAATTTCAATTAAGATATATTTTTATCAATGAATCAGATAGAAAAGAAAAACAAATCAATATTTATTGTTGATCTTTCTAAAACAATGAAAGAACAACATTAAAGGTCTAAAATATGAATACCAACGCGTATCGAATGAGATAAAGTAGCACGTTGATCGATCGACATTTAGAATAAATATATCTTTGCTATTGATGAGTTATATTAAGTAATACAAATATGTCATTTTTGTTATTCAAAATAGAAGAAATAATATAATGATCAAGGAAATATAATAAAACATCATCTATGAAGAGTTATTGCTAGAGGATCATCAGCTAATTGCCGAATGAATGATTCATATCGTTCACTATAATCATAATACAACAATAAACTGCTATACATAGTGTTAATCAATAAAGAAAAACATTGTAAATGTATTCAAGTATTATACAATTTCAATTAGAAAATCATCGATTATTCTCCTCATCTCTCACCATTGTCATTAATAATTAATAAACATGGTTAGTTCAGTTGGTACTTATGATATTAGAAGCTTTCAGTGAATCAATACAAATACAGAAAAAAATTGAATTGTAAGAGATGTTCTGATAAACAATTGTTATTAGATAAAAGATAATTAAAAAATCTGTACATGTTCAGGCAACTTTCAGTAAAGCTGATGATGTTTACGATGTAAGAACTATATCATTTATGCCATCACTCAAAGTCTCATCATCGTTTTTTTCCTCAATTTTGTTTTAATATGATAGATAATTTTCATGAAGCGTTTATAGTATTGTTATTAGTCTTTTTAGTTCTTCACATTTGTTCAAACATCATAATATAGCACTTTCAGAATGTTGCTACTAAGATTTCTTTCTTTATTAACATTTCATATTTTCTTTTTATCAAATAGATATTTAACGACGAAAGAAATATATTTTAATGAATAAAAAAGAAAAAAGAAAAAGCTTTTTATATTTAAATTTCTTCATTACTTTCACATTTAAGTGTTCTATATTTTCCAGAAAAGTAAAATATGAAACTCATCTTCATATTCTACTTTTTTCACATAACAATATAAGTGCATTCTGTTTACATTCTCAAAATGAAATCATGCATGTTTCTAACATTTATTTTCTATACTTTTTATACAATTCCAATTCGACTGATATCTCATAGTACTTTAATTCTTACAAATTCATCATTATCAATTATAATGAATGAAACGGGTGAAGAATGTCTTTGTAAAATGATATCCTCATCAAATACTAGGTTGTGGAAAAAGTTCGTGCGCCGTGTTATAATATTAATAATAGTAACGCGATGCACAAACTGTTTCCTCAATCTGGTATACCATGTTGTAGAGCTTTTTGAGGCGCATCGAACGGTATATGATAACTCTTGTCTTCATAAGACTTTGAAGGAACTAGAGTCAATTTGCTAATAGGCGACTATACACCCACATCCACACTCGCTCACACTTACATCCACAAGATGGTCAGAGATGCTACGTGTATGAAACTGCAGTCCGTCAAAAACTATACAAAATCGTATGTGAGGAAAAGTGTTTTACAAATACTTTCAGCTAATAGTAGACATCACAATATTCCGTAACTAATCATGTTTGAGTGTGGAGGTGGATGTGGGTGTATAGTCGTCTATTAGCAAATTGGCTCTAGTTCCTTCAAAGTCTTACGAAAACAAGAGTTATCATATACCGTTCGATGCGCCTCAAAAAGCTCTACAACATGGTATACCAGATTGAGGAAAAAGTTTGTGCATCGCGTTACTATTATTAATATTATAACACGGCGCACGAACTTTTTCCACAACCTAATATATTTGCATTCAATTATTTTTCAAATAATACTTGTCAATTCTTTTCAAATATATTTTTGATGCACGTGAATTTTTCTTAGATGATTAATCTTAATAGAGAATTTTATTTTCTTCAGATTCCATCTTTACCAGAAACTACGGAACAATCTAGTACGACTTCTTGTGAATTAGGTATGAAAAGAAAACAAACAATAAAACTTTTATGTCTTCTCTGTATGTATTTAAGTGAATCCACCTCTAATGGGTACAACAATATGTGGATCTGAAAATGGTACAGTTGGAAATTCACTCTCTAGATTGAATAGACCTTGAGGTATTACTATCAATGATGATGATTCAATGTTACTTACACATAATAATAATAATCGTGTATTATATGTATCTACTAATGCAACAACAGGAATAAAAATAGCTCCCAATAATGGAACTTTGACAAGTTGAAGAGGTTATTTTGATAAATTTTATTTGAATTTGTTTGTAATTGACACCGATTGTTGTCGAATGACTCAATACTACAATGGATCATCAATGGGAACGATTTTATTTGGTATGACGTGTGGAAAAAGTTTAACACAATTTGATATATCATCTACTTTTATTATGGATTCAAACAATAGTTTCTACATTGTTGATAACTATTGGGTTGGCCAGAAAGTTTTTGCGTTTTTTTGAAAATTTTATTTTTATTTCTTAACTTCAAAAAATACAATTAGCTTTCAACAATGTAACCTCCATCACTGTCTATGACTTGTTGCCAACGTGTTGGTAAAGAAAAGATTCCATGTTCGTAGAAGTCTTGAGACTTTTGAGCGAAGAAGTTGGCCAGTTCCGTTCTGAGGTCGTTCTCGTCGTCGAATTTTTTCTCGCTCAAATAATTAGAAAGAGAACGAAACAAATGGTAGTCTGTTGGAGCCAAGTCAGGAGAGTAAGGTGGATGTGGAAGTGTAATCCATCCGAGCTTCAATAATTTTTCACGCGTCAACTTTGCAACATGAGGTCTGGCGTTGTCATGCAGAAAATAAATCCTGTCCTGTTCCCCATGAAGTTTTGCTGCAACGCGGTCTAATTGCTGACAGTAGAGATCAGCAGTGACGGTGCAGCCAGCAGGAAGAATTTCCCAATGAATAATTCCCTTGACACTCCACCAAACGCTCAGCATAATCTTCTTTGGATGAAGTTCATTCTTGGGCGTTGCTACACCTGCTTGTCCAGCTCCCAGCCACTGCCGCTTGCGCGTATGGTTCACATACAATACCCACTTCTCATCACCAGTAAGAAGATTGTGGAGCCATTGGTAGTTGCGATGAGATGTCATCAACTCCATACAAGCGTCAACCCTGAGTTGGAGCTGATGCGGTGACAATTCATGTGGAATCCAAACACCATATTTCCACGTTTTGCCCAATTCTTTCAGGTGTGTTTCCACTGTAGCATGAACGCAACCAAGTCGCTCTGCTAAACACCGTGTAGTCAGTCTAGGATCTTCTTCGATGAGCTGCTTCAAAGCATCCATATCCACCTCTATTGGCCTTCCGGAGCGAGGTAAATCGTCGAGTTCTAAATTGCCATTCTTGAACCGATTGAACCAATGTTGCGCTGTACGAATGCAGAGTACATCCTTGCCCATCGTGCTGCATATGTTGCTAGCTGCGTCCGTTGCTTTGTGACCCAAACGAAATTCATGAAGCAAAAGCACTCAGAGCTCTCTACGAGATATCTTAAATTCTAATTCTTGATCAACGTCCATATCAATGATTTTTTTATTGTTCGAAAGAAATTCGTATCCCCTTTATATACCCACAATATGGAAACTTCTAGAACTTTCTTGACTATTCTAGGAAAATTTAAGAAAAAACGCAAAAACTTTCTGGCCAACCTAATATAATCATCGTATCACGTATTGGCCAGTAAATACTACGGTTGGTGTTGCAATAGTTGGTGTATCACGTAACATATCTTGGACTAGGATTCGAGTATTTTCCAAAAGGATTCGCCAATTCATCTGACCAAGCAATGAAAATTTGAGAATAGATAGATCTCGACGAGCTCTATCGAATGGTCACCTCACTTTTCCAAAAAAGGCCTTTCTTTCCTGTCAAAAACCTCGAAATACCTTTGAAAAGGGTTTAAAAAAGGGGAAAACTTAGTAAAATCCATAAGGATTCGCCTATTCATCGGACCAAGTCTGACCAAGTACGGACCAAGATAGGACTCAACGAGCTCTATCGAATGGTCATCTTATTTGTTCGATTCAACTAAGTTATAGCATGCAAAATGGCAAAATAGTGATATTTCAAGCAGTAAATTTTACTATGACTTTTTCATGCTTGCCTATGAGTTAGACCAAACTGGATCAGAGATGGGTCAAGATGGTACTTGATGAGTTTTATCGAATGAACACATTAATAGTTTAATTTGGATGTATGTTCACTGAAAATTCAGTTCATCTTTTGTATTAGGAATAAAATATCTACTATTGATGTGAAATATGCTCTGTGTGTTTGGATAGAAGTTATTTCTTATGATTATGTATCTTTATGATACATTGAGTTGAATGAAATTATCTCTCAAAATCGGATTGCATTGGATAAATATATCGATATCTATTTGATAATTAATATGAATAAAATTGGAAAGAAACAGTGTAATACAGCTATGATGTATGTTTTATTTGATGTAGTGGTGTGATTTTGTAGGACAGAAGAAGGTAGGTTATCGAACAATCTATATGATGTATTGAATGTATAAATAGATAAAAGAAGAAAAAGATGAATATCTCGCTTAAGACTTTTATACAAATATTTTTTCTTCGACATGTAATTCTTTATTTTCATTGGCTAATTTATTTTTGAGAAAAATATCTCTCTTTCATTTCTCTCTCTCTCTCACATGTACATGTATATAAATCTTAATTGAGAAGAGAAAGAAATCAGATATTGAATTAAAAATAAATTCTGTCGTACATTTGTAAATCGATTTATTTACTCTGTTATTGTTATCCATTAAACTATTATTCAATTAATGTTAGATGAATGATTCAAAGTCAGATACGAAACGCAAGAATATTTGGTCTCGAATTCTTCTTCAACAATATGTGGATGGTGTTGCATCTTTAGGTGATCGTGTTGATAAATTGGAGAAGGAAGGGTGGCGGCTACATGATAAAACAAGATTGAACTCTCTGTGGGCTGAAGTTATTGATTATTTAAAGTTGCATCATTATACAAGATATGGCTTAAGAATACTCATCAAGTCAAAAGATTAGTTGATAAAAAATTAGGGCGAGTTAATCAAAATTCAAGCAACAGCAATCAAAGTTCTACTTCCAGAATCATCACTTCCTTTGGTTCAGCCACCATTGACTCGTGCTCACGAAAAGAATGAAGATAATATTGAAATCCATGGTGAAAACTCTTTTATAGGGCAAATTTCAATTGTTTTCTCTACAACCGAATGGAAAGATGCATTTAGTCGCACTCATCAAAAGATGAAAGCTGACTGGACTACAACATTCAATAAAAAGCTAACCAATAACGGGACAGGTATAACATGTACTTTAAAATTTAAAACTCCATATTTTAAGACAGGAGAAAGGAAGAAAAATTGCCGCGATTTCTCTTGCACTATTACATGTACTATCAAAGGATGTAAGAGAAAATATATAATGGAATGTGAATTTCTACCGGATGATAACCCATCAGTACTGTTCCTTGTTAAAATATTTGGAAAACAAGATCATACCAATGGGCCTAGTACTCGTAAACTGAACGGTAAAGACCGCATGCTAGTTGGTAAGATACGCTAACTAATTATTTTGGATACCTTAACAATATAATATATTAATATATTTCTAGGCGAGCGTGTAGAAGTTGCTGATGAACACTTACAAGCAGCAGGCAATTTCACTGGCTGTGAAACAATTGAGACGATAAATAAGGCAGCATACGATTATCGAAAGAAAATGCACATTGCTGAAAACATTTATGCAGAATGTCGTATTACTGAATTCGTTTTTGATGTAGCGGACGAAACGTCACAAGATTGTAAAGGTAAACGTTCTCGATAAAATAATTATTAATTCATTCTTTTTTGTATCTTTATAGGATATATTCACTTTTTCGCAGAAATACCATTCACTATCCATTTATATTGTGAAGCACGAATTAGACGATATATAAGGTATTGTACTAACGAAAATTATTCTTATGTCCATATAGATGCAACTGGTGGAGTAATTAAAAAATTGGCTCGACAAAAGCAGATATTAGTTTATGCATTGTTATTTAAAGATGGTGATGACTCTAATGATAATATTCCACTGGCACATGCAATGTTAGCAGACAATAGAGTGCCAAGCATTAGTAGTTGTTTTAAATATTTACGTTACAGTATCTACCAAGTTAGAAACGTCGATATTCTTCCATCCTTTTATGTTATTGATTTTTCTGCTGCTCTTATGAATGCTATTCTCGAAGGATTTATCGTTGAAACTATTAATGCTCATCTTAAACGATGTTGGAATGTTTTACATGGTAAATATACTGCTCAAGAATTACAATCAGCGTCCTTTATTCACTTTTGCTGTTGTCATGTAATTCATGCCGTTGCAAGAAATTTAACAAGTGCACACATTAATAAAAAAATTCGACGAGGTGTGTTACTTACCCAGGTCAACAAATCCGATGCTGGATCCGATCGGATCTTACCGGATCCGATCATCCGACAAAATCCGATCGGATTCCGGGAAACGGAATTGCATTGGAATCCGACTAGAAAAATCCCGTC